TTATATCTTATTAATTATGACAAATATAGTTTTAGCCCCTGAAGGATGAGTTATTTTTCATTCCTGGTCATACAGGTGTTGAGTTTCCAGCCTCTGGCTTCCCATTTGCTAACTCTCTGCTAGTTGTGCTTAATAGTGACTGCTTTTCTGTACCTTGGCCATTTTTTTTGGTATGGTAAAGTATGTATTAGAGTCAGAAAGACTGCCCAGCCAGTGTGGCTCAATGGTTGACCATTGACCCATGAACCAGGAGGTCATGCTTCGATTCCCAGTCAGGGAATATGCCTGGGTTGTAGGCTTGATCCCCAGTGCGGGGCATGCAGGAGACAGCCAATCAGTGAGTCTCTGTCATATTGATGTTTCTATCTCTCTCTCTCCCTTCCTCTCTCTTATATCAATAAAAACATTTATTTTTTTCTTTATTGATTAAGGTATTACATATGTGTCCTTATTCCCTCATTACCTCCCCACCCACCCCCCACTCATGCCCTCACCCCCCTCGTGTCTGTGTCCATTGGTTAGGCTTATATGCATGCATACAAGTCCTTTGGTTGATCTCTCCTCCTTACCCCCACCCTCCCCTACCTTCCCTCTGAGGTTTGAAGGTCTGATCGATGCTTCTCTGTCTCTGGATCTGTTTTTGTTCATCAGTTTATGTTGTTCATTAAATAAAAACATTTTTTTTAAAAAAGAGTCAGGGCTTAGCTGGTTTGGCTCAGTGGATAGAGCATTGGCTTCTGGACTGAAGGGTCCCGGGTTTGATTCTGGTCAGGGGCACCTGCCCAGGTTGTGGGCTCGATCCCCAGTAGGGGTGTGTAGGAGGCAGCCAATCAGTGATTCTCTCTCATCATTGACGTTTCTATCTCTCCCTCTCCCTTCCTCTCTGAAATCAATAAAAATATATGTAAATTAAATAGATAAATAAAAAATAAAGAGTCAGAAAGACTGGGGTTGGTATTCTGGTCCTGTCACTTATTAGTTGCTCAGAGAGAGACATCAATGAAACAGGTTCTTTAACTAGTTAACTCCTTTGTGAAATGGGTGGAATAAAAATTAGATTACAAAATGAAAGAATACATCTAAAACCTCCAGCATAATACCCATAACATAAGAGGGCTCAATAAATTTTGGTTTTGTCTCTTACAACTACAAAGCCATTCCAGAATTCAGACTCTACTGGGGTCTCTATTTTTAGTAATTTCAGTCCACGTTTTCTGCCTCTTGGAATTGCATCCCAGTCAAACCAATTTTCTTAATTAACATCATCCTAAGTTTGTCTCAAGGAAAATAGTGCCTGGATTTTACCTTGGCCTTATAATCTGCCTGGACCGAAGATCCTAACCTTCTCAGCCATTTAACCTACAGTTTGACAGCCTCCCTGTTTTCAGATGGTGAGAACTTGGAGAACACTTAATCTTGAGCGGAATCTGGGCCAGTTTCACCAGAACAAAAAGGAGGAGCAGAGCACTGTGCTAACTAATTCAGGACATTCGGTCACTTTATCACTTTAATCCATTAATCTAATTACAAAGTGACTACCACCAAATAGTTTTTTGGATATTTTAGCTCTTCTTCTCTTCTAAGGCACCCTTTAAACCTTCAGCTTGAAAGATTCTGGATTATTTGAAGTAGATATTAAAGACTTCTTTTAAATTAAAAGAAGAATAAAATAAAATGGCAAACCTAGAACCAATAGAGGAGATGACTGATCCTGAAAAAAGGCAGAAAACTTGAAAGAAAAACAAATTAAAAGACATAGTTGAAGGCAAGGGATGGGAAGAGTAGAGTAACAATTAGATGATTATTATCCTGTATATGTGTTAATAAGCAAAAAACACAACTGTGGACAATTATTTCCCTGTATTGAGTCTACATTGTGGTGCATATTATTGATTTACTTGTTCAACAAATAGGTATTATGCATCGACAACATGACTGGCAATGAGTAAGGTGCCAGGATTATAATAAGGAATAAGATCAAGTTTATAGTCTATTGCAGTGGCCAAAAAACTCAAATAGGAACTAGCAACAGTGGTCACACATAGCATATGAGTTCCATGTATGGGTGTGAAATTCAAAAATCCAAAAATGATGGGAATGATGAAGCTGAAGGAGTAGCATCTCTGTATTAGATGGGACAGCTATTACTCAGCTTCATCTGATTTTTGCCTTTTAGGGATGTGTGGTCTCCTGTTGCCAGATTTTAAAAATTTTTTTTAAATTTTTCAATTACTTTACATTCAACATTATTTGCATTAGTTTCAGGTGTGCAGCCTAATGGTGCTCCTTTCTTAAAGTGTGTTTTAAAACATTTTTAAAACAGATTTTTAAAACATTTCAAGAGAAACCAGAATTCTGATTTTTATGTGAATCTATTGCTTAATTGATATTGGCTCAAAATTTAAAAACAAAACAGACACTAGTTTGAAATTCTCTAGTTACAGAGGATTTGTTACTGGTGAAAGTATGAATGAGCTCATAGTTTTGAAATAGTAGTAGGTGTAAGAGTAGAAATTGTTACTTAACCTGTTCACCTTGATTTTTAAAGTTATGATTCTGTGGAAGCATAAGCAGAGTCAGTTGATACAGAATTATAAATGAATATCCTAAAATGGCAACTTAGATTATCAGAGGGTGTACACTCTAAACAAAGTACTTGGATATATAAATATAATTTTTCAGTTCTGTATTTATGGTGGGCATGATTACTCTAGTGCACATGAAAAGCAGAGTAATGGGAACTGTTAGCACAGGGTGAATATTGGAAACATAAAAGGAGTTGTCTGTTTTCAAGCATGGTTTCTATCAGCTGCAGCAGTTTCAGAAAGTTTTCTTTGTCCTTGAGACACTCCTCCACATCTTGTTGGATAAGCTCAGTTCCTATATTCTGGCAAGGAAGCCTGAGTTTCTTAATTTGTCTTCATTATGGTGTCAGTCTATGTTATGTTCACCCTGATCCGCTTAGCTTTGCTTAAATATTTATTCTTTGTGCAACATCACTCTAGATATACCTACTTACATTTTTCTCAATCTCATCTGGACTCCTCCTAACCTTTTAAAAATTATTTATTTTTCACTTTTAAATATGTTTTTATTGACTTCAGAGAGGAAGGGAGAGGGAGAGATAGAAACATCAATGATGGGAGAGCATCATTGACTGGGTACCTTCTGCACATCCCACACTTGGGATCAAGCCCACAACCAGGGCACATGCCCTGGCCAGGAATTGAACCTCGACCTCCTGGTTCATAGGAGCCACACCATCTTAACCTTTAATAAGTCATTATCTACTATTGTCATTTATACGTATCACTTATATGTCTGATCTTTTTTGAACAAGAATACAAATGTATGAGGGTAGGCACTGTAATTTTTATATATCTCCAGGTTTGATTTGCTAGGAGGACTTACAGGATTCAGAATATAGTCATACTCACAGTTTGATTTATTACAGCAAAAAGATATAAAGTGAAATCAGCCAAGGGAAAAACACACGGGGCAAAATCTGGGGGAAATAAAGCACCAGCTTCTGAGTCTTCTCTCACTGGACTCACACAGGACACACTTAATTCCTCCAGCAATAAGTTCTGACAACACATGTGAAATGTTGTCAACCAGGGGCACTCATCAGAAACTCAGTGCCTGGGTTTTTGTTGCGGTTGATCATGTAAGCAACCTCTGCCTAAGACTTACCCAAATTCCAGACTCCTAGAAGGAATATTCAGGTGCTTGGCATAAATCATATTGTTTGCAGAAAGAGTTTAGGCACAGTCAGCCACTCATCATTTAGGGAAAGTTTATATCAGTGTAGGGAACTGTTTATTATTCAAATATGAGTTCAGAAGAGCTAAACTATTTGCTTAATTTCACATGGCCAACATGTGAAGGAACCACGTTTTAATATTTATTCCCAAATCAGGTGTTTCTCTACCACACATATTGTATTCTTCCTAAATAGGTATTGTCCGTCTAAGAGGTTAATGTTTTATAAATGGAATTTGCACCAAGTATGTAAAAAGGAGGTCGAGCAGATTTTCTTTATGATTCTAGATCCTAGAATTCTAGTTCTAGAATTTCTAATTTCTAGCTTCTTAAGACCCCAAGAAAGACTGGAAGTCTTAGAGAGTAGAACTTTGGCACCAGTGCTTGCTTTTCGTTTATATTCACTCCTTTTGAAAGTGTATTTATCAAATATACCAAACGAATACAAAGATGATCTTTGCCTCTGAAGAGCTCACAATCTAATTGTGTTTAACTGTAAAGAAAATATAAGGCAGAGTGAGGTAAATACCATAACAGAAGTACATAATAGAAGCAAATGAAAAGAGTCCAGAGCAGTGTGATACAAGTCAAAAGAAGAGTTAAATGATGTTGTCATTCTTTTAATATACTGTTCTCTAGACAGTACATATTGAAAGTTGCATATTGCTAATTTTGATACAAACGTAAGGTAGCATTAACACGGCATATTCATAGATTTAAGGACTGGAATAAAAGCTTACTACACTGCTGCTTCGTTTGGCTTTAGACTCGCAGTGGTTCTCAACCTTCCTAATGCCGCGACCCTTTAATACAGTTCCTCATGTTGTGGTGACCCCCAATTTCATTGTTACAAATTGAACATAATTAAAGCATAGTGATTAATCACAAAAACAATATGTAATTATATGCTTTCCGATGGTCTTAGGCGACCCCTGTGAAAGGGTCGTTCGACCCCCAAAGGGGTCGCGACCCACAGGTTGAGAACCGCTGCTTTAGAGTTTAAAAAAAAGCTGACATTATTTCGCAGACTGTTGAGCTTGGGTCTGAGATTTCCTAGGAACTACCCAGCAAGTGGTTTCGGTTCCGCGAGGAAAAGCTCGGGCAGAAGCTTTCTGGCAGCACCGAGGGCTGGCCGGGCCGAGCCGCTGCCCGCGGGGCTGGCGGGTGGGTCTGCAGGGGGGCAAGCCAGACCTTGCCCAGGACACTCGGCGGACCCGGGAGCGCAAGGTAGACTCGGGAGCGGGAAGGCAGCTTCCTGGCCCCAGGCCCGCTGGGGAGTTCTGCGCAAGCGCGTTAGTCGTGCGACAACCGTCACTTACGGCCGAAACGGTTTGTGCGGGGAGTTGGCGGCGCGCTGCAGCTCTTAGGGACGGACGGCTCGGGCGCGGGTAATCAGCTCCCTTTCCCCCTTTCTCCACTCCTTGTAGGATCTGGGGATCATGGAGCTTCCGGACCTGATGCGGGCGCCCGGTCGTGGACTGCCTCTCCCTGCTCCGCTACCGCTCGGGGTGATCCCGCGCCCAGGTGGGGGTGAGGGGCGGGGTCGGGGGCTTGTCTGGACTCCATCCTGGCGTCTCCGCGTTGCGATCTCCTGGGTAACTCGTGCTTGCTCTTGTTTTCCAGGACTGGTATCCGGGGACTGACTCGCAGGGTCCGCCATGGAGCCAGAGCAGATGCTGGAGGGACAGACGCAGGTACCCGGAGGCCCTGGGTTCATGGTGGCGGTGTGCAGCGAGAAAGGGTGGCCGAGGTCTCTGACCTGTGTTTTGTTTTCTAGGTTGCAGAAAATCCTCACTCCGAGTACGGTCTCACAGATAACGTCGAGGTAACTCGCCCAGTTCCTATGCCGTTTCTGTACCTCTCTTAAGAGCTGGAAAAAACAAAACAAAAAACACCTTGGGATCTGTTTTTACTAGGTTGCTTTGCACAAGGGAAACTTGATCATCACGAAGCAAATACTGTCACATTATGGGTAGCTTGTTTTATTAGCGGTCCTAACACTTCGTGGTATACAGACGTACAAATTAATTTTTAGCCAAGAGGTTGAACTTGTGAAGAAACATGCATACATTGCTAGTGGAGACTTAGAATCGTTTGGCTATCTATTGGGATATTGCTTTGGAAAAATGGCACATTAAAATTAAGAAACCCATTGTCTTTATAGCAGGATTGTGTTGGTGTCGTCAGCATTTAATACATGTTGATTTTTTCATAGTTCAGTAGGCAGGTGCCATTGGAAACTATAATATACACAGTAGATACTGTTTTTGCTTTACATGGTTAAGTCTGAATTCAGAGAGTACATGTGAAAAAACACACACATGAAAAAGAAGGTAACTTTTATAGAGTTTTCTATATCAGTCCTAAGAGGTTGTTGTCTAAAAGTAGAAGTTACTTTGTAAATGAATAAGGAAGTGCTGGAACAAATGAATTACCAAGAGCTGGGTGGAATTGGTTAGGAAAACAGAGGCTTCCTTTCCTGTAGGAGATGTGTACGTTTTACTAGGAAAGGAAAGACATTACTGGTGATTAAGTTTGGATAAATGAGGGCAGAAGCATTTCTGAGGAGAATAATAATTGTAACAGCTGCTAATATTTCTTTAGCCCTTTTACTATGGGCCAGGCACACCCTAAATAATTGGCATATATCCTCAGCCCTATAAGACCCACAAGTTGAGTAACTTGTTAAAGGTTACCAAGAGGTAAGTGGAGAGCTGTGCGTTAAACCTAGGCAGGTTGACATTTTAAAAGTACAATTAAATTGTGTTGCTGATCTTGACCAAACTCCTAGAGTTTGCTGGCATGTGGAATGACTACTCTGTGCCTATAAAATTGCTAGGCATTTCTATTGCTTTGATATCAATACGGATAGAGAATCTTTTCTTTCTAATGGGTTTTTAGTTGAACTTCTGCTGAATCAGGTGAAGACTCTTTACACCACTTTGTTTTCTAGCTATTTAAGAGACCTTTTTAAGGCATCAGTGGTCTTTTCTTGATGGTGCTTGTATATGATGCTGGAGCCATGCTGCTGTAGAGCAGTGATAACAACATGCTTTTTCCCAAACCCTCAGTCCAATTTCCATGGTAAAATGAGAAAAAAAAGTGGAGTGAGTGTTTAATGATGATACATTACTGTATTTGGTGATTGGTCTTCCTGCTTCTATAATTTTAAACTGCTTGTTCTTTTTTTTGAATTAATGGTGATGGTAAAATAATTATGTTTGTAATTTTTTTACTTGGCAAAATAGAATTAACCCTATGTTAGTTTCTTCATTTATTGTATTAGTTTATTTCTAATTGTTTGCAATATATGAAAGTCTGGAAACCACAATTCTACAGCTGCTGTTGCCGCTTTTTCTCTTATGGTTTTCTTTTTATTGGTTTGTTAAAATTATTTTTAGGTGTTGGCTTTAGAGTTTATAGTATGCAAATTTAACTTACCACAATTAACCTTCAAGTGGTAGTATATATTTTCATTTATAGTATAAGAATTTTACAACAGCAGTTTTTCATTCATTTACTCTCTCCTGGACTTTGTACTATTGCTATCATATATTTTACTTCTACATATGTTATAACTTCTACACTTCATTATTTTTATTTTTTCTTTAAAAATTCAGTGATCTTTAGAGAGATTTAAACAGTAAGAAAAAGGAGTATTTCACGTTTACCTGCACCTTTACCATTTCTGGGCTCTTCATTAAAAAAATTATATATATATATATTTGTATTGATTTCAGATTTCAGGAGAGGGAGAGAGACATAGAAACATCAATGATGAGAGAGACCCAGGGATCCCCCCCCCCCCCGCCCCCCACCGCCCCAGACATCCTCCCAATCCAACCGGGATGGAACTGTGACCTCCTGGTTCATAGATTGAAGCTCAACCTCTGAACCACACCATTTGGGCAGCTCTTCATTCTTTTGTGTAGATCCAGACTTCTGTCTGTTATCATTTTCCTTCCACCTGAAGTGTTTCCTTTAACATTTCTTGTAGTTCAGGTCTGCTGGTAAGGAATTCTTTAAGTTTCTGAATGTGTGAAAATGTCATTTATTTTGACTTCATTTTTTGAGATATCTTTGCTGGGAGTAGATTTATTCCACTGTCTTCTGGCTGATACTGCTTCTGACAAGAAGTCTGCTATCATTCCTATTTTTGCTCCTTCATACTTAATGCCTTTTTTCTTGGGGCTTTTAAAATTTTATTAACAGGTTTTAAATAATTTGATTATGTTGTTTCTTGGTGTACTTTCAAAAAATTTTTGTTTCTTTTTTTAAAAATTTTTTTGTTTCTTGTGCTTAGGATTTACTGAGTTTTTTGGATCTGTGTATTTAGAGTTTTCATGAAATTTTAAAACAATTTCAGCTATTATTCAAATTATTTTCAAGTATTTTGTTTAACTTGTGCTTTCCTCTATATTCTTGAACACATGGAAGGGATATCTTATAATAACTTGTTTAATGGCATTGCTTATTTTATCATTTGTATCATTTCTGAGTCTTTCTGTGAGTTGATTTTTCTCCTCATGGGTAATATTTTCCTGCTTTGCTGCCTTACAATTTCTTTTTATTAATCCTCATCTGAGGATATATTTATTGATTTTAGAGAGAGAGGAAGGGGGAGAGAGAGAGAGAAAGAAAAACATGGATTGGCTGCCTCCTGCATGTCCCCGGACCAGGGATTGAGCCTGCAACCAGGGCATGTGCCCTGACTGGGACCAGGAATCTAACCGTCACCTCCTGGTCCATAGTTTGAGCCCACCTGGCAAATTTTTATTGGAAGCTGAGTGATGAATTTTACTTTATTGGTATCGGTTATCTTTTTATTCCTTCAAACATTCTTGAGCTTTGTCCTAGGACATAGTTACTTGGAAACAATTTTATCTTTTTGAGGTTTGCTCTTTCCTAAGTAACACCAGACCAGCCTTTAGTTTAGGCTTCATTTCCTCTTCTTTCATATTCTACCCAGTGCTTCATATGTTAAGAGGTTTTGCCAGTCTAGGTCACAGAAACATGAAGTGTTCCTGGCTTGTGTGAGTGCTCCTTCCTTGGCTTCCAATAGTTTCCTCACACCCATGCTCTGATAGGTACTCACCTTTAGGTGTTTTCCTGTGCAACTTTCTCCTTCCCATGTGAATTCTAGATGGCTTTGTCTCCCTGAATTTTCAACTCTCTTCTCAACCCAGGGAGACTGTGGGTTCTGCTTTGATTCCCTTTGATTTCCTGTATTGCATCTTACAAGTTCTCCAGGCAGGAAACAGTAAGTTGGGGCAATCATAGGCTCACCTTATTTTTTTCCTTTTTTTCAATCACTATTCTAAACTGTTAACAGTTTATTATTTATGTTTTATAGTAGTTTGGAGATACAGGTGTTTTTTTTTAGATCAGTTCAGCATTTTATCTTAACTAAAGTTAAGCATAGAAATTTGGCACATAGTGAAAATTCAGTAAATATTTGAATGAAATAAATGAGGACTTGGTTAAGGAGTTTATTATAGTATTTATAGGAATTGGTTAGGCATTGCTGTTTCTTATTGAAGGCATTGGGATGTCATGTAACTGACTAATTTTTGTCGTATATAGGTATTATCTGTTGAAATTTACTGACAGGCACTAAGTAATCTATGGGCAAATAAATAGCTCTTTTATTAGGTATAGGAAAATTTCTTATTAAGTCCTAAAATTACATTGAAAAATCATAAGCAAAAGTAGAATAGCTGCCTTACAAATTTGTGGGAACTATCTTTGGAAACAGTGGTATATATTATGTAGATATGCGATTAAAGTTTTTTCTCACTTTTTACAAAATAAAATTAAATCTAAAAATATTAAATATAGAAAAGTGTTTTTTTGTTGTTGATTCATTTATATTCACTTTGAGTATGTTTGGAGCAAAAGTTCATTTAAATGGAAGTGCTCTTAATAGTGTTTTGTATTTTAGATAGCCATTTATTTGTAAATTTCTAAAAACGGTAATTTTTCAAAAGGAGGGAAAATTTTTCACTAAAGAAGTTTTTTAAAAAAATATATTTTTATTTCAGAGGAGAGGGAGAGAGAGAGAAACATCAGTGATAAGAGAGAATCATTGATTGGCTGCCTCCTGCACGCCCCCTACTGGGGATGGAGCCTGCAACCCAGGCATGTGCCCTTGACGGGAATGAAACCAGAGACCCTTCTGTCTGCAGGCCGATGCTCTATCCACTGAGCCAAACCAGCTAGGACTCTAAAGTAGTTTTTGCTGCTCTGGATGTCAGATGAATCTATGTGAAAGGCCCCAGATTTGGGGGTTCTTAGGAGTAGAAAGTCTAAATCATTGTTTCCTAAACATCATTTGAATATCACAGTCATCTTTTCCATATTATTCTTTTTCCCTGTTTTTTTTTTTAATTGTTATTTTTTACTTACTATTTTTTTCTTTATTCACTTTAAAAAATCATAGATACATTAAAAAAAACATAAATGGAAAAGTATTCTCATTGTTATAGTGGTAATAAATTTTAGCTGCATTTTGTTGCCAGTGGAAGGCTCTGAGCCTAAAGCCTACTCTCTCTGTGAACAGAGTTAAGCAAGCGTTACAGAAGTGTTAAAGACATATTAGCACCAAACTGAAACTTTGTCCTTGATATTATCTGTGATGAAAGAGTTGAAATAGGACTAGCTTTCTCACTGTGATTCAGTGCTACTTAGTTTCATGTCCAGATTTTTTGAAGCACACTGTACGAAGGTAGCCTCATGAAAAAAGGGGGACTTGTATTTACTTCTAAAAAGGCAGAGGAGAGTGACAAAGAGGTAGGATCTGGAGATATGACATTAAAAGAAAGAGATATTATGGTGCTCTCAGAAGAAACTGGAATGAAATTTAGAGATGGGTCTGATTTTATTTTGGCAAAGAGATTTGCAGTTCAATACCAGTTTTTAGTCAATGACTTGCCTTTTCTATTAGCGTCATGTTTCCATTATTTTTTGTTTAGTACTCACAATAATCTGAGTATTTGTAATATTATGCATATTTTTTGGATTCACTAGAGGATAGTAGAAAATGAGAAGATTAATGCAGAAAAGTCATCAAAACAGAAAGTGGATCTACAGTCTTTGCCAACTCGTGCCTACCTGGATCAGACAGTTGTGCCTATCTTATTACAGGGACTTGCTGTGCTTGCAAAGGAAAGGTAAGATAATAGTGTCAGCAGAAGGAGTTATCAGAGAATGACTTTTCTAATTGAAGTATCACTAGTTATGTATAATTTTTTTCCTATAAAAAGAACTTATGCATATTAAAAACATTTTAAAAGTCAGTCATAATCTCAGTTCAGACACTAAGTTTTTTCTACAAGTCTTTGATCATATGCATATTTATAAAGACTTGTAATTGTGGTATACATGCAGTTTTATATCTCCTTTTTACTTAATATTATAACAAAGTTTTTTCCATATCTATGCATAGACTTTATGAACTTATAATTTAAGTTGTTATAGTACCACAATTAACCATTTTCTCATTGTTGAAAATGTAAGTTCAATTTCCTTTCTTATAGATCACTAGGCAGTTTATCTGTTTTCATGCCTCTTTTTTTAAAAAAATATATTTTATTGATTTTTTACAGAGAGGAAGGGAGGGAGATAGAGAGTTAGAAACATCGATGAGAGAGAAACATCGATCAGCTGCCTCCTGCACATCTCCCACTGGGGATGTGCCCGCAACCCAGGTACATGCCCTTGACCGGAATCGAACCCGGGACCCTTCAGTCCGCAGGCCGATGCTCTATCCACTGAGCCAAACTGGTTTCAGCGCCTCTTTTTTTAAAAAAAAATACATTTCATTGATTTTTTACAGAGAGAAAGGGAGAGGGATAGAGAGTTAGAAACATCGATGAGAGAGAAACATCGATCAGCTGCCTCCTGCACATCTCCTACTGGGGATGTGCCCGCAACCAAGGTACATGCCCTTGACTGGAATCAAACCTGGGACCTTGCAGTCCGCAGGCCAACGCTCTATTCACAGAGCCAAACCGGTTTGGCGCCTCTTTTGTTTTTATGTAATTACTTTCACATGCTAAATTCCCACGAATTGGTTTGCTAGTTCAAAGGATACAATTTTTTTTATGGTGTTTGATACTTAGTATCATATTTATGTCCAAAAATGTATTTTTTTGTGTGTGGGGGGTTAATCCTTACCTGAGGATATTTTTCTGTTGATTTTTTTTTTTTTTTTTTTTTTTTTTAGAGTGGGAGGGAGGGGAAGAGACAGAGAGAAATATCTATGTGAGATAGACACATCAATTGGTTGCCTCCCACATCTGCCCCAACCAGGGCCAGGGATTGAGCCAGCAACAGAGTTATGTGCCCTTGACTGGAATCGAACATGGGATCCTTTAGTCCGTGGGCTGATGCTCTACCCACTGAGCCAAACTGGCTATGACGAAAAGTTTATTATTAAAATTCTTTCACTATTATCATAGGCTCAACAGCACGAGTGTTACAAACATTTTTTTTGCCAATTTTTAAAAATTGATTTTAGAGAGAGAGGAAGTGAGAGGAGAGAGAGAGAGAGAGAGAGAGAGAGAGAGAGAGAGAGAGGAAGAAAGAAAGAAAGAAAGAAAGAAAGAAAGAAAGAAAGAAAGAAAGAAAGATCTCTTTGTTGTTCCACTTATGTATTCATCGGTTGCTTCTTGTATGTATCCTGACTGGGTATCAAACCAGCAACCTTGGTGTATCAGGACGATACTCAAACCAGCTGAGCTACCTGGCCAGGGGTTGCAAAATTGTTTTAACTTCTTTATTAACAAGATTATAATTTTTCTTTTTTTTTTGGTACAGGTTTTACCCCAGTAATTCTACCTAAATTATTTTTATGTAAGCAAATCCCATAAAAAATATTTTTTTTAACTTACATTAGTCATCATTTATTTGGTGCAGATTATGTTTTATTCAAAGAATAATAATGAATACTAGCCTTAGCTGGTCTTACATCGATGTTTCTCTTTCTCTGTCTCTCCCCCTCCCCTTCCACACTTTCTAAAAATCAATTGAAAAAATATCCTTGGGTGACTATTAACAACAACCAAAATGAATACTAGCAAACTGATATAATTTTTAAAAAAATATATTTTATTGATTTTTTTTACAGAGAGGAAGGGAGAGGGATAGAGAGTTAGAAACATCGATGAGAAAGAAACATCTATCAGCTGCCTCCTGCACACCCCCTACTGGGGATGTGCCCGCAACCAAGATACATGCCCTTAACCGGAATCAAACCTGAGACCCATCAGTCCGCAGGCCGCCGCTCTCGCTCTATCCACTGAGCCAAACCAGTTAGGGCCAAACTGATATAATTTGATAAGGAACCTGATGTTTTCTTATCAAGAGAGCTCATCATTGATGTTTCTCTCTCTCTCTCTCTCTCCCCCTCTCTCTCCCTCTCTCTCCCCCTTCTTCTCTGAAATCAATAACAATATATTGAAGAAAAAAAAAAATGAGCCTTAACCGGTTTGGCTCAGTGGATGGAGAATCCGCCTGTGGACTGAAGGGTCCCAGGTTCGATTCCCGTCAAGGGCATGTACCTTGGTTGTGGGCACGTACCTTGGTTGCGGGCACATCCCCAGTAGGGGGTGTGCAGGAGGCAGCTGATTGATGTTTTTCTCTCATTGATGTTTCTTACTCGCTATCCCTCTCCCTTCCTCTCTGTAAAAAATCAATAAAATATATTAAAAAAAAAAAAAAAGATGAGAGAGACTCACTGAGCAGCTGCCTCCTGTACACCCCTGCAATCCGGGCATGTACCCTGACTGGGAATTGAACAGTGACCTCCTGGGTCATGGGTTGACGCTCAACCATTGAGCCACTCCAGTCGGGCATGTTTATATAAATTATATGGTAAACATTAAATATTTGCTTTAGATTGTTACATTTATAAAATATGATTTTTTATTTTTTTAAAACATCTTTTAATATTTTTATTGATTTCAGAGAGAAAGGGAGAGGGAGAGAGAGATAGAATTGAGCCTGCAACGCAGGCATGTGCCCTTGACTGGATTTGATCCTGGGACCCTTCAGTCCACAGGCTGATGCTCTATCCACTGAGCCAAACTGGCTAGGGCAACTATGATTTATTTTTGGCTCTCTACTGACAGTTGAAGTATGGACATCTTTTATTTTTTTCTTTCTCTAAAAAATAATTAGAAATTCTAAATATTTATAAGCTAGAAGAAAAAATTTGAAGCAGTCCTAAGTAATATGCTATTAGTAAATACAATTTTTAAGTAAGAAGTCTGGCAAATTGATTTATCAAATTAATCTTGAAAAATGTTGTCTATGTCTAGCTAGTTAAAAGATTGTTTAAAGTGCTAAGGGAATATATTGAGATCATTATTAAATATTCTCTATGCCTTTTCCTAGTAGGGTTTAAATAGGTGTTTACCCCATTTTCATCTTTCGACTTGTTTTCTCAGCAAGAATTACTTATATAAAAGTGATAAATATGAAATAATACCCATTAACTTTAAAATATGTTTAACTTATCAGGTGTGTTGTATGGTGGCAGTAGAAATTGCTTTTTAAAAAGAAACAAAACTTGTTCAAATGAATACTACTTCCTTTGATTAATCACTTAGAGAGTTCATCTACCTGTCTTGGTGATGTACAACCATTTTCCTATGTAGTTTTTGTATTCTTATTGAAGGTTAATATTCATACAGAAAATTACGAATATCATAGGTGTACTGCTTGCTGAATTTTCTGACACTAAGCATAATTATGTAACCTGCATTCAGATCAAGAAAGGGAACACTGCTGGCACTCCAGCAGTCTCCCTTGTGTCCCCTCAAGTCATTATTCCCCTGGGATAGTTATCATCCCATTGCTAGTACATTTTCCAAACTTGTGTTTTAGAATTGAGTTCATAAGCAGGTTTCAGCCGTACAAAAATTTCAATTTCTTTAAACTACATTGTTGACTAATCTGCTTCCCTGTCTCATTTACTATACAGGATGTTTCCCCCAAAATGTATACACACTTTGAATAATTATTAATTCCGATGGGTTAAACCAGAAAAGGAAGAAACATCAATTGAGCTATCAGAAAAAAGTATGTATACATTTTTTGGGGACACCCTGTATTTACTACAAATGGCCTTTGAGTGTAAAAAGAAAGCTAAAATTTAAAAGATGTATTTTTATTATGGAACAATTTATTTCAATGAACACATCTAGAATACAAATGTCTAAATTTTGGATTTCTTTTCCTTTACAGACCACCAAATCCCATTGAATTTCTAGCATCATATCTTTTAAAAAACAAGGCACAGTTTGAAGATCGAAACTGATTGGGAAGAACAGAAAAATTTGGTTTCTACTATAGATTTACATGATTAAGAGGCAGCTTTAATTGCCATGATTTCCCCCCACCCCTTTTTGGAAGTATAAGAACCTTCAGGACAACAACTTGTTCTTGGAGTTGCAGAAGAAAACATATTTCCCTTATTTTGATTTAATCACCATACTTATATTTAAAGAGTGTATTATGTGCAATTTTTTCTCAGATTGTCTTTAACTTTGTTTTTAAAATGACCTTCAAAATAAACTGTTAAATGTCATTATTGTAAAGTAGTTTTTGTTCTATATGCTAAATAATTTACGTGGTTCCATTACTTTTATGACTTTTTTTTATCGTAGAATGCTGCCGTTTTTTACAACAGCATGGAAATACATCAGAATCTAATATAATATTAAAAAAACGCAGTTTTTTTCCGCATTTTCCCTGTACCTCATGGAGGGTAGAATCTGGGTATCCACAGTTTTCAACAACTATCATAGATGATTCTAATGCACAATAAAGTTGGGTTACTGGTATAAGTACTGCAGAGGGTGTATAATATCCTCCCATGCTATCAACCTTTATGGTAATAATGTAATAGCTATCCTTGCAGTTCTACGTGTCATCGCAGTGCTATTTTACTTAAATTATTTCTAATATAGCAGCTCTGCAAAGTAGATATTGTTATTCCCATTTTGCAGATGAGGAAACAGATTTGGAGAGGATAAGTGACTTGCTGAAGACCACACTGGTAAGTGCTTGAATGGGCATTGAAACCCACTTTTACCAATATGTTGCTTATAGCTAAGTGAGAAGTGTTTGTGCTACTTAACTTCATTGCTTCTTTTTACAATAAAAAACCAGCCAGTCCTTTTTTTTGTTTTTTTGTTTTTGTTTTTTGGTCTGCTCACTTTGACCTGTATGAGAGGAAGGGAGAGGGAAAGAGAGAAAAATCTATGTGAGAGTAGAACATCAATAGGCCTTCTCCTGCACATGCCCAACTGGGGGATTGAGCCAGAAATCCAGGCATGTGCACTGACCAGGAATTGAACTGGGATGACACCCAACCAACCGAGCCACACCGCCAGGGCTTCAAAAATTTTATGTATCAGCCCATTGTCTGCTTTGAACTATACCAAAGATCTGTTCCCTGTGAAATTCTGATGTAACAATTTTATGGTTTTTAACCACAAATCTTTCATTGAAGATACTCAACTTTCTCTGTCTTACCAATTTTGGAATGGTTTACTTCATAACAACACTTACTGGGAAGTCCAAGATACCTTACTTTGCCGTGATTCTTCCATAATTTTAAAGGAATTCTTTGCGCTTGACCCTGACATGAAATACTGGGGTTGATAAAAGTATGGAGGGTTGGAAATAATGTTTGCTGTTTGCCTACTATGCCATGCTCTGTTTATTAACTCATAATCCTGGGGACATCCGAATATTATCCCCATTGTATAGATGAGGATAACTATACCACACTTTAGCTAGTTAGGGAGTTAAGACACGTACCTACATAAATATAACATGAAACAAGACATGTTTACAGTGTCAAAGCCAAGATTGGGTGGTAAGGGTGGCCCTGTGAAGCAAAAACCAGCGTTTGCAGGACCTCAGGCATCCTCCCGTGTACCTGTACAAATGAACTTCCCAGCGTGGCTAGACTTGCGGCTCTAGTAGTAAACCTTGGGGGTGCGAATGCACTGAGGATTCCTGTGTCTGATGCGGGGAGGGAGGTGCGAGCTGGACTTTGCAGGTGGAAAGCACCATCTGGCTACCCCCGGTGGCGCTCTTTTAAGGAATTGGCGGGGGAGGGGGGGGCTTGCCCTGCGGCTGCGTCCGTTCCCGGAGCCCGCCCCTCCCCGCCGCTGCTGCCTCGAAAACCCCGGAGAGCGGAGCGCGCAAGTTGCGAAGTCCCCGGCGGGCCCGGCCGCGAAGCTGAGGCATGCTCAGTGGGCAGCACCCGTTAGAGCAGCGAGTAAGGAAGCGCTGGCTCTCCTGCGGTCCGCCCGCACGGTTCAGGCCCGGCCTGGGCTTTGTGTGCGCGGAGCTACAGCCTCCGCGGCCTCCTCGCGGGGCCGCCTGACCCCAGATGCCGTCTGGCCTGTCCGGTTTCCGCCTTTAACCTCGCCGCGCGGCCGGAGGAGGGGCGGGGCGGGGCCGGCGGCCGGCGGGGCGGGAGGGCCCGGCCCGGGTGGGGGTGGGGGTGGGTGCTGGGAGTCCCGCGGGGGTGGGGGGTGGGGGCGGTGCGGAGTCACGGGGGTGGGGTCACGCGGTGGCTCCGGGAGGCCAACCGGGAGGTGAGGGGGCGCGGGGG